CTGCAAAAGAAGGAGAAATCAACGGGTTTGTTTTCACGGAAGAATCCTCAGATCCAGGAAATGGGCATTTAAAAGGTATTTTTCATCATCATAACTAAGCAAATTAGACCTCCCACATGGTAATTAAAGCCAGCAGGGAGGAAAACCAAACTGTATCTGAATAGACAAAACAGACTTAACAGAGGTGTTAAAAGCTTTCGTGATAAGAAGCAGTTTTGCTTGTTAGCCAATCGGTTCACATTAATGTACATTAATTTAACAAGCATAACTGTTTTACTCTGCATGTGCCAGTAAAGACTGAGCTTAGTACATTATGGTCTACTGTTCTGCTTGCTCTGAATTTAATCAGAATGCCATCTCTAGCATCAGTGCAAATAGAAAATGCCCTTTTTACTACTCTGGTGTCTTTTTTCTACACAAGGACTGGGCAATGTAAATTATAGCCAGCTTTCTTGCCTTATCAAAGAACTGTGATGTTCTAAAGAAAATATTAAAGTGCTACTCTAAAAAAATCAAGATCTGTGATGGTCCCCACCACAAGAAAAGGCATTTTTAGTATTGCAAACAGTCACACAAAGCAGGGAAGACATTAAAATAGATTCATAAGCAAAATTATTGGTAGAGGTAGACTCTATCATATAAATGTCACCAATAAATAATAGCTTTAGTTTGTGTATCCACGCTGCAGCATAACCACTGAAATACAGAAGTGTTTACTGTGAAAGTACATAAACTTTTAGTGCTCAAGCTTAAGAAACCTTTGCAAGGCTTTAACCACATACTACGTGTTGTTAGACAATGCAGCTGGTGAGATGCTCCAGGCAGTCTGGATGAGCCACCTAATCACAAGCAGAGTCTTAGAAACATCCCTTGTCCCACACCCAGGCCCACCACACTATTCTGGCCGAGTGAAAGCTCTGGAAACCATGCAGAAGAATCTCCTCTGGGTGATGCAGTTATGGCACTGCTAGCTTTGAACTTCCCTCCCACCCTGGTCCCTGGAGTAAGATGCATGCCATGGGCATTTCTAGGAGCCATAATCCAGCCCCATTCCAGCTCCCCCTCAGCTAGCAAACAGCTGCTGTTTGAGCTTCCAGGGCAGAGCTTAGCTTGGTTTAATGCACATGCTGTAAGCTACAGCCAAGGCTAAAGCAATCCTGGGCCAGCACAACAGTAAGGATCAGATCAGAAGTGCGTATGCTGCCACCTCACCTAACGAAGCTTCACTAAAGGCTGAATCTTGACCACGAGCACAACACAAGCACTCCCTCAAGACTCACCTATCATGGCCAGTGCCAGCACAGCTCCACTCACAAGAGCACAGGTAGGAGGACCAGTGTTGACAAGGCTTTATGTGGGTGCTGCCTTTCAACCACCACATCGGCCATCAGATCCTGCCTGGGCACCTAGCGGAGCTGCCTCAAAACCCTTTGTTGAGATATGTTTTTCCTGTCCCAGCAGTACCTACTGCTTCCCCTCTCATGCTCATAGAGACATTTTCTTGGGGCTCCTGAGGATCACAGAGCACTGGAAGCTTCACTGTATGAAGTAAAAAAAAATTATTCCTTTCCTGACTCTGCACCTCTGTGCAGCCATGAAATAAAGCAGTGATTGGGGGTAGAGAGGAATATAAATTCTGGCTCCTGGACACCACATTCTTTCTTGCTCAGGAGAAAACAGGGATGATAGTGTTCCATGCCTTTAAATTGGGCAGATACACCAATAGGGCATTTTCTTCATAGATCCCTAGGCCTGAAGAGAGCATCTTTTCACTGCTGACACTTACTAGGTTAGAGTGAGAACCTCTGGTTATTCAATTCTGCAGAGAAAAACCTCATCCCATGACAGCATCCCAAAGCAGTGAAAGTAGCCAAAAACCCTTATCACACACATCTACAAACATAATATAGCATTCTAAGGTAAATATATTTAAAAGACACTGCAATCTCAACATTTCTGAGGTATGTTATGAGCCCATCTTCACTTGCAGTCACAAAGACCTCCATTAAGGCAAGGTAAACATCCTAAGAGTAAAGCATGTTGTGGATGAGGAGCAAACAGCAAAGCTTTTTTGTGTTGTCTATTTTTCTATTTGTTTTGTTCAGTTGTGGGGTTTTTGTAAGGTTTTGGGAGGGGTTGGTTTTAGTGGTGTTTCTTCTGGAAGGAACAAATGGACAGAGGGAGTAGATGAAGAATGAGAGACAAGGACAATGTTTATGAGCTGCATTTGACAGCAGATAATGGGAAACAGAAAGGTTTGAATGCGATTAGCTTCTGCTACAAGGAAATTGCCACCACAGCAAATATAGCAAATTGATTGAAAAACAGGCTGAATTTTTTTAATTAAGAAACAGTGCCAGGCACACTGGCTACAGCTGCCCAGAAAGGGCTGCATTTCAATGGACACACACGTTTTCCATCACCTTTCAAATGAAAGGGAAGCCATCTTATAGAGGGTTTGTTTTGGATGAGGAAACCTAGATACATTATTATTTTTTATTATTTGCATTACTCTGGTATCTAGGAGACCTAATTAAAGATCAGGAGCCTGCAGTGCAAAGAGCTGTGCAAACACAGATCAAAAGCCCGCCCTGTCCTCTGGTAGCAAAACATCAGTCTGGTTAACATTGAGGCTCTTAATAAAGTGCTCTAAAGAAGTTCAAGACATTCTCGAATGGCCTGGACAGTCTGCAGAGGCCAAGCTGAAACTTCTGCCTGGCAGAAGACAGGAAAGCATCCCAACAGAGAGGGCAGACCTGACACCGGAGGAAGAGGGTGCCAGGGCAGAGCTTAGAGATGGGCACGCACAGACGTGGCACCAGTGCTGCCACCTCGTGCTCAACGGTGAAATAGCGGAGAGGGAAAAAAAGACATTGATACCACAGCCATGGCATCAGAGGTGAAAGCCACCAGAAAAACCAAACTCCATTATTTACCTGGGCTCTGTATATTAGAACGGGTACTCCAATCCCCTTCAATCGCAAAACCTTCCTCTAGAATGATGGAGCTCTCACGTACAAAAAACCCATAACCCTGCTCTAGACTTCAAATAATTACCAAAAAAAGGCAGCCAAAACCCAGCCCTGAGCAGCCACCATTTCCTGTCACCACACTGACTGCTCTGCTCTACTTTCACACTGGAACTCTCACGCTCCTTGGACTGCTCTCAGCTATTTGGGCTGTACTCTCTTCACTGCCAGGACTGCTCCTTGCCCTGTGCCGGTGCTGCGAGCTGCACGATGTGATCTCATTTGGCCACCTTTACCCACTGTGCCCTCCTGTGTCTGCTACCTGTGTAACAAACAGGACACTCCACCTGTAAACGGGGCACTCTGGCTCCTCCCAGTGTGCCTGGGAGAGACGTCCTCTGTTGGTCCAAAGGGAGATGACATGCTCTCCACAGGAGTGTCTGCTGAGAAATTCTCAAAGTCCTCCTCCTCTTCTGCAGGAGAGACGGGGTCAGGAGCATCCAACTTCTGCTCCTCCAAGCTTGCACTGTTTGGATCCAGTTCCTTAATAATTCTGTCATACTGTGCAATTAAATCCTCACCATCTGTGCTCAGCAGTCTTACACTTAAGTTATGATCTGCCTCCTGAGGAGAAAGCTTCAACTCCAAGTCTGGCTGTGGATCAATCTCGATCATTTTCTGGTTTATTTGTTCTTTCATTACACCTTGAGTCAAGCTTGAATTTTCCTTACTGTGCTCATTGAAGTCCATTTCCAGCTGGCTCTTTACAAGAGGCCCATTGACGACCGTCTGGCTTTGGACCTCAGGTTCTCTGCCTGTATTTAAAGTTTTCTCCTTGGAGGTGTCATCATCTTGAGTATCCTTCTGGGCACATAACCTGTAAACCATAACATCATCCTGAAAGTCTGATTCCTCTATGTAAGAACCTTTGATCAGCATGATGGCGTTTTTTTTCATTTCTTGAATGTGTTTTGGTGGCTCTGCAGGTGGCTGTATCTCTGAGCTTCCCAGATCATCGTAGGGTTGTGGCGAGCTCACGTCAGAACCGGGAGAAATCCCTGTATCATAGCTGTCATCCCATTCTAGCTCCAGCTGCATCCTTTCACCAGACAGAGTTGCTTGAGAGGAGCTACACATGCTAGGTGTCCTTTGCTGGAGCCGAAACATGGGCTGTTCCACATCTCTACTGTTCTCCTCAGCAAGCGTTTGGATGAAGGTGTCTGGATCAGGGTCTACTCCATCATACAAGGCAGACCAAACCTTACAATCTTTCAGGCACTGGAGGATGGCTTCTTGAGCTTCTGCCAGGTACTGCAAGTAGCTGATGTCCACAGCTCTTCCATACTCCACAATGCAAGTAGATTCAGAAAAGCGTCTACCGGAGTCTGAAAGTAAAGATTGCCCATATCATGAATAATATACCAAAAGTTCTCTAGCAAGGTATCCACTAAGACATTGGAGGTAGAGTCTTTAGCCCTAACTATCCAATGAGGCAGGAAGAGCAATGCATAACTGTTAAGAGATTTGCTCGTAAACATACATGACTTTTTCCTATTGCCAAAACAGAGCTGTAACTCAGAGATCAGCTAAAACCTTAAAGCAACAGCAATCACACTGAAGCAGCAAGAGCTGCTGTCACGTATTGGTATGATATTTCCATGAATGCATATTCAAATTAGATACCTGTTAAAATAAGGTTTCAATAGACTTGGACAGAGAAGAAATTAAATACACTCTCCAGCCCAGGTTTGCCCAATTTATTGTTGCCCACCACATTTACCTCCCCTCCCATGAGCTGCTACCAAATCAAATTTAGTTCACAATCTGGTCTTCCCCTGACCAATTACCTTTAGTTTTTGCTGCTTTTGTCCATAGAATATACTCTCTTCCCTGGCTTTCAAGTGTCAAGGTGATGCCGGTGGAGCAGCAGGCTGGTGTCAGGGCCAGCAGTTTTGCAGCAGATACAGAGTAACAGTCCCTCTCTTTCACAGCCCACCGCTGGCTCAACATCATGTGGTTACAGGGGATGAGATACCTGGAACAGCAGTGTCCAGCGTTATTTCACATCCTTCCTTTCGTCTTAGAGAAAGAAACAACACACAAAATTCCCAGCTCGACTTCCTGCCCTCTCCAAATGAAAAGAAACAGTAATAATTTTGACAGTGATCCATATTATAAACCTTTCAAGAGCATGAAACCCCAACTCTTAATATTGTGAAGCTACAAGTTGGATGAGCAACTGTCATGATGAGCAGAGATAAGAGATCAATTGCCTCAGAGCAGGGAGGTGAACAGGCCTTTGCAGGTCAGAGCAAACTCAGTGTAAGAAGGGATAGAGGAAATGCAGGATGGGCAAATGTCAAAGGCCAGCAGGCTGTTTTGGTCCCACTACGAATGAGTTCTGTCTCAGAATTCTTAATTTATTTGTTTTGCTGAGAAATCCAGAGAGAGACAGTTCACATTTGCCAGGCAAGCAGCCAGCAAAAAGGAGAGAAAGGTCATCAGGATGTTTTATTGTAGCAGGTCAAGACTGAGCTCTCAGGCAGAGGAGGAGATAAGCTATGGAGAGTACAAGGAGAAGAGGAAGCACAGTCTTGTCTTGAACTTCTTTAGAGCACTTTATTAAGAGTCTCAGTGTTAACCAGACTGATGTTTTGCCATTTAAAAAGCAAACAAATGCTAAAGATTTCCCTAGATAAAAAGAAGACTAAATACAGCACTCTACTGCTGTTAGAGTAGTGCATACTTGAGTTCACAGAGGTCCTAAGAGCATTCCCAGGCACAACAGCCAGAGCTACAGGGAATTTCACCTTTATGTCTGTGGGTGAAGGGACAGACTACCTGAAACACTCATGTGGTCTAGAGTGCTAAAAGCTTGTTTTAGTTACACCAGTATTTCCAAATAAGTAATCAAGTCTCATCTAATACACACATCAAAATTACAAGTATTCTGAATCATAGAGCCATCAGTTAAAAGCAAAAATAATCAATGCATTTAAGTACATCACATGACAATCTACCTACAAAAGCTCAGGAACTTCAAGTATTCTTGGTGAGAGAGGAATCAAAGAGGCGGAAAAAAAACAAGAAAGAAGGTGGAAGCTGCAAACAAATATATCACAGTATATGATACACTTGAGAAAACAAGCAGGAGAGAAGAATTATACATTTAGAAGCAGTGAATAAGCAGTTTGGAGGTGATAAATATATTCTTAGCTTCTTTTCTCTCACTTTTATAGAAATAAACCACAAGAAAAATCTATTGCTCCTGAAGATCACAGGATGTAAATCACACTCATCAGGTCTAGCAGAGTTTTGTCAGGATCATAAATATTCTGATCTCTGTAGTTGCTTGGATTCCTGCTCTCTTGGAGAACTCTCATCTAGCTCTGCATCCATAAGCAGAGACCGTATGTCCCAAGATTAGGATAAAGAGTGGAAAAGTGGCTTTACCTTAAAACTAGCTGTAACATCACATCTTCACAATGCAAGCCAATGAGTGTTCTGAACAATGCCAAAGAGACCACACAGAGCTGGAAAATGATAAACATCAGTTTTTGATCTGGAAATTGTACCTTTTCAATCTTCACTACAAAATGGCTCTGCCAGAACATCATGCTTTATAAGACACTGTTAGTATAATATTTCATTTTGCTAGCACCCAATAGGATTTTTTTAGAGTTGTCTAAAGCTATACACATAGCATGTTACATTTTAACAAAATACAACCCAGAATTTTCCTTCAAATAAGCTATTTATTAAAAAAGAAGCAATTTATCGATCTTTCACATTACTAAGTTTTATTAGTTTAACTCAGCATGAACTGAACCCTCTAATTTCCAAGATAGCGTGTTAGTTTTTAACCTCTGACATAGAATTTGAAACAATTAAAGGTCTTTCCTGAAAGAAAAGTTACAGACCACCTCAAGTTTCTGTTGCTTTAAGTCTAAGGAATGAACAGTGTTCCGCACATTAAGAAGCTGAATGTTTCTATAAACATAGCTTAACATACTGACACAGACTGGGACTGAACAAGTAATTTTTATCAGGATCTACTCCATATGAAATATTCAGAATCCTTCCATTACACTTGAATAGCTGGGAATCATGGCAAGGCATGAAAATCCTCTCTGTGATATCAGAAAAAAGGAAAGAAAAATTGGATTTCTCACCAGAATTGCACAGTCATCTTTTTGGTAAAATTCTTATCAAATACACCCATAATTTCAGTAGTCACACTCAGCAGAAATACAAACCATACCCATTCTGTGACAGCCACCCCACTTTCACACTGCCTTTAGGACGGACGAGGGACGTGGACCTCTACAGGCTGTTTTGGTCACTAATTGGACATAAAACACTTTCAAATCTATCATACAGTACACTTCTACCTGCCAGGTGCTTGCTAGACTGCAGTTGTGCCCAAAGTGGTAGAAGCACAAGCTGTAAGCTTTCACTTCCACAGAGCAGAGCACCACCATCTCCCTGCCTCTTAATGTGCATTTCCTTGGGCACATCCTCCTGTGCTGCTCTCTCATAGAAACTATCATCTCATGGGTGGGTTATACTCGAAGACCGTGCTCACTGTTGTGACAATTATTTAGCATACCCTCTCCTAAAGTTTCAAGCTGCTGTTTAAAACATGCTTCTCCCTATATTAATTATCTAAAGTCAGATAATATATGAAGTTAACTGCACTTGGCAATAGCTAACAAAAGAAACAGATTAGGCCGGAACAAGGAAAAAGCTACAGGTATTTCTCCACCCCGGTTTTGTGCTCACTCTCGTGACAATTATTTAGCATACGTTGACCCTCTCCTAAAGTTTCAAGCTGCTGTTTAAAACATGCTTCTCCCTATATTAATTATCTAAAGTCAGATAATATATGAAGTTAACTGCACTTGGCAATAGCTAACAAAAGAAACAGATTAGGCCGGAACAAGGAAAAAGCTACAGGTATTTCTCCACCCCGGTTTTTCAGTCACTAAATGTCCTTTGTAATTCACTCAGGATTAAATCCAGCATCCTGCCTGGGCATGGCTTCTCTTCCACACTATGGAACATCCCACCATCTCTGCAGCCCCTCCCCTCACTCCTGCTTTTAAAATGCTCTGTTCTAGCTCTGTAACAGCACATTGCCACGTGCCTCTCTCCAGCCTGTGCTTTCTGAAGAATGTCAGCTTCAAGACTCTTTGTTTCACCATTTCCAGTTCTCTCTTTCAGATGAGTCACTCAGTTCACCTACAATATAATTGGCTGTCCATGGTGACCAAGACCAGATGGACATAGATTTCTTGAAAAACAAACAAAGAAACCAACCACCCAACCCTTATATACACACATGTATTTTCCCTTACTTGGTAGGTATCTCTGTGAAACAGACAGCAAAGTTTAAGTGAACCTTGCTTGATAGCTTCTAAGCAGTAAAAGTTTCATTGACTGCCTCCCCTTGTTTGATCATTGAACTAACACCCACAGAAGAAGAAAAGAAAGGGAACAAGCAGAGAGAAGCGAAATCACCTGAACTGACCTGCTGTGAAGCAAAGCAGAACTCAAATTTGTTGCCCTGCCACCACTGTCCACAGCTTGCACTAGCAGCCAACAGTTAGTCCAAGACCTCATGTCTACAGAAATAGATGGAGTAAGTAAAAGGGCAAGAAAGGGAAAAATAAACTACACTGGAGTCCCTAATAGGAACATGGGGGCAGAGCTAAAGAGCTTAATAAGCTTTTGGAAGAAGTCAGATCCTTGCATGAAAAGTGTGTTTTAGCTGGGGGACATGGAGGGAAAAAACAGGTATTGTAATTTCCTCTGCGAAATTACTGAAAGGCAAGTCTAACTTTTCTTCATACCATGAAAGTTCAAAAAAAAACCTGTTACTGCCTTAAGTTGTCCTGTATTTAAGAAATTTCAGTTTACAGGGAAACTTTACTCATTTGTCTTTGCAACCATACTGCAGATCAGGAATCACCTGAACAAATAAAACTAGTCTATTTCTTTATTCTGTAAAAAAAAAAAAGAATTAAAATACATCAGGAGACAGCAGACAGTATTTTTACAAGTCCTTTTGGTCACCTGTCTGTACATAAATTTAACCCCGTGAATTGTTAATAAGTATTTTCATCAGTAATAATACATGCAGCTTTTGTGCTACAGAAACACACGGCAAGCTGCAGTTCTGGCTTTTGCACTTGGCCAAGCTCTACTGCAGAGAACTCATTTAGCATCACAGAGCCATTTTGGCTGAGATCCTGAGTTGCTCAGGGCTGCAGAATTCTTTACGATTCTCATCTCGTTTGCCTATGGAACAGTAATTAATGATTAGCAGAGACAACAGCATTTGCATTTTTGTCGAGAGAAGCTGTTTCAGTTTTGGGAGTTAATCCATCTTAGAGGTGCAGTAACAGCAGCACATATCCGTATTTGCATGCTCTCACATTTCAAAAGAAATTTCCAATTAGGCTGCTGTCCCTAACACACGAGTCTAATGCACGTGCTGGTGTTCTGGCTTCTCTTCTTCCTGCATTAAAACGTTATCCTTTGCTTCGCTGTGCAACACACAAGATTCAGCCAAGACTGCCAGCCAAGCAAGGCTCAGAAAGGTAGAGTCCAGTGCAACAAGCAGTTATTTCTCTCCCAGAAGATCCAGCTGTTAGTAAAGGCAACCTTACTGGCAGCCTGCTCTCCTGCCACTGTGGTGCATTGTGCCTAAGGTGAAAAAGGGCTCCAGTGCAAATCCGAGATAAACGTTACTATGCAGGGGAGTGAAGGCAAAGAAAAGGAAGCAGCAATCTGATCACTTCAGTAAGAAAGCGTCCTCTTTTAATCAAAGAAGAAAACAGGCAAGATCACAGTTAAGCAAACATGCTGCAATAATACAAACTTGATTCCTAAGAGATATATTGGCAATACTGCAATTCACAGCTTTGATAAATTTGGAGACATCCTTACAAGGCTTCCATCATCTCCCAGGAGGACTACATAAAAATGCTTGTTGTTTGGCGAAACTCCAAAGATCAAAAATGCTCCTCACCATGAGTATATTTGAGAGTCCCAGGGTGAGTTATCTATGGCAGCACTAGTTCAGCAGTATTCAGAATAAAAATCCTTCCAAATTTGCCTTTAATCTTCTATCAGAATCCAGATTTCCAGAAGCCCTCATCACCCTCTGTCCCATATCCTGTATGTGTGAAACCAGCTCACGCATTTATCAATTTAGTACAGTGGTAGCTAAGTATCATCACACATACATACCAAAAAAATTGAGGGTGTAGAGAAATCACACATTCCGGTGGAGGAAGACATCTCCTAGTCAAACACATACCCACTGAGCAGATGGAATTTCCCATTTAAATATTTAACCCACACCCATGCTGAGTACCTGAGCTTGCTTCCCGTTTGCCTTACCCGGAACGGCGTGTTGATTCGGCTAGTGAGTGTGTCTAGGATGTGCACATTCTCATGTTGGTGCAGCAAAATAAAACGAAGGAAAATCTTGAGGAGGGCTGGCTCTGAAACACTACGTAAAAAGAGATCCAGGTATGCAGTAGTAGTCATCACTTCTTCCACAGTCACCTACAAAAGCAAAAGTAATGTAAGTGGAAACATACTGCACACACAAAACACCCGTCCGTCCATCCATCCATCCATCCATATCCATCCATCCATCCATCCATCCTCTGCAGCTGCGTGCCTGGCAAACACCCAAAGATCTCCATACATAACACTGTCACACATACACGGAGGGCTTGGCTGTTAAGTCTGCAAAGAGCACGCTTCTGATCAACTCACAAGCATTTTGAACCCTTTCTTATCTGTCTTGCTTCCCCAGGAAAAAAAAAAAAATAAAAACTCCCCCAAATGGACCCCAAATCTCACACCTACTGAAATACAAAGAGACAAATCATGCTAGAGGCACCCCACCACCTTTCTGCCCATGTCAGCTCCTTAGCATCACACTTCATCCTTTTGAAGCATTTTCAGATACTGTGATGTTGTGGTTTGAGGCTTGGAATGGGGTCGTGCCCTTCCAGCAACTGGGAGGACCCCGGGTGGGGGTGAACCATTGTATTCCCTCCCCTTCCCACACACACTCTGATAAGAGGCAGGGAGTGGGTTCTAATTTCCCTCCTGCCTTGGAGCTCGGAGAGGAAAGTTCTCCTTACACTCCATGGGACCCTGGAACCATTTCTGAGGGTTTTGTATATTTTATTTTTTGTATTATTCCCCTAATCTTTGTATATATTATTTTCCTTACCTCCCTTTTTTGTTTTCTGTTCCTTGTTGAACAATATACTTCATTTTTTTTTCCAAAGTGTCTCTCTCTCTCTCAGGGGGGGAGAGGCGAGTACATAGTTCTGTTCCGTGTGGGTCCTGCCCTGAACCCCTTTTTACATGGAACCAGGACATGTGAATACCTGTGTCTATCACTTTATCAAAAAGAAATGTCAGAGCACTATCAGAGCACAATACGAACTCATGATTCTAGAACTTTAAAGAAAAAAAACCCCATAGCTCTCCAGAATTTTGCCACAACTATCCTTTTTATTTTCCCACAGCACAATTCCTCATCCTTCTCAATTTTCCAAAGGAGTATGCATGTGTGTGTACATGTACACACACTTACGCACACAAACCAAAACTCAAAATCTTTGCTATTTGTATATGAAAATACAATTCAAATATCCATGTGACATTTGCATACTACAACCCACACTGCTCCACTTATTGCAATCCTTTGGAGCTTATCTATTCACAGTATGCACAGAAAATTCCAAAGGCCACCTCTGCACCACGTTCTGCTGCTGCAAAGTCAGCTTTTTAAAAATAGTTACCCAGGAACCTAATAAGCTTAAGTGCACAAAGATAAACCCTTAAATACAAGAATCTGCCTAAATGAAAGGAAGTATTAAATATCTTTTGTTTACCAAACTTAGCTGGATAAATGAAAAGACTGATTTTATTAAAAAAAAAAGAATCAAAGCTGTCACTTAAGAGCTAAGAGGATTTGGAAAATACTCAGAAGGGCAATGTTTATGTAACACGCTGTAAGTACTAAAATCCCTCTTCCATTATGCTCCTTGTTAGCCATGTACACAGTAATGTCATGCTGCAAATGTTCTCTTTAAAGCATTTAAGATCAGAAGCTGCTTCTGGCTGGTTACACAGAACATAGGAATGCTGTATGCAGCCTGCAGACCTTATGGAGGGGGCACCAACGAGGAGAGCAGGGAGAAGCTCTAAGGTTAAGTTCACTGATTTACTCTCATTTTGAAGCTTTATTTCACTACCCAGCTACATCATCCTTAATACAGTGGGCTACTAGCTCATTTTGGCACTAGAAACAAAACACCAGTGAAGTAGCAACAGTTGAATTTTTCACCAGGATAGAGAAAATATGTTTACCTTCTTGGTTTACTGCAGTAAAGGCTGGTCCAATATCAAGCATTAAAACGTAACAGTGAAAGGAAAGGATCGAGGCACACTTTCACAAGGTCTGTGAACTTTGTAAGGCTAAGTAAGCAACAGCTAGGTGTATTTCCTAGATCTGGAGCTCTATGTTCAGTGCTACCAAAACCATAAATGAGAACAAAGTTCTTTCACAGAATAGTATCTATTCATATACACTCCAACTCAGAATACAGTTTATAAATTCATTCCTCCTCCTTCTCCCCTCAACCATCAAGTGGAAAAATTAAAGCTACTAGTTTAAGCACCCAAAAGTTAAAAATTACCAGTATTATCACTGTGGCTATAGTCCCAACTGAAGTTCTAGTACTGTAAATACGATAAAATCAATGTTTTTATGCACTTGCACGCACCTTTCCATAGGACGACTGCCACATTCCAATCTCAAAAAAAACCTGCTCAGGAAAGGAGCAGGTTGTGAAAAATAGGAAATTGGTTCTGGTTGGAGATGAGATTTTTTTATTTATTTTTTTCCCCCCACAATAGCAAAAAGATGTGTGGACTTGTGAGGTAAAAAAGAATGGCTTTCTGATGAAAGCTGTTGCCTGTTGCCCTGAGAACTGTCTTTTTTGTTTACTTTTTTTTCCCCCCCTACACCAAGCTGTAAAAAGCAAAGCCCAAGAAATCCATCATGTGACGTCATTATGATAGCATGCAGTTCATCAAAGCCTTTAAACCCTCTGTCAAGGAAAGGCCAGACAGAAGTAATACATCGTTATGTCTCCGTGTCACTTCTCCTTCATCCTCTATGGGAAAGCAGAAGCACGTTCTTGGCCTGCAGACTTCACAGACGTTTGCTGCCAGCAGAAGGAAGGGCCTATGTATATGTATAAAATACCACAGCTGTAAATGAAAGCAAGAAAACCCAGCAGATTCATCACAAGGGCAGTGACCTCTTTCTGAAACTGCTGGTCTCTGGACAACTCATCCTACATTTGTACCAGTGAGAGAAACCCACGTGCTTTTTGGAGTGCCTCTCATGAATGAAAAAAAGGGCAGAAGAAAGCCAACTAGAGACTACTTTAGAGATGTTCATTTCTGAGAGTGTGTTCAGTGCTCCTAAAAGCTTCAGGACTAGACCAAAGAAAAAAAAAAAAAAGTCATGTTTACCACAGTCAACACTACACTAATATACAGAACTAGAAGAACCAACCAAAGATTAGTGAACCCTAAATAGTTCACAAAAGGGTTACTTAGCACCTTGTTAAATCTTGACTGTTTGAATTGAGGAGTTTTTTTTTTTTGTGCAGGTTGTCACATTACACTTAATTTTAATTCTTGGGAAAGAAGTTGCTGAATCTGCATAACCATTTTCTGAGAGAGGGAAGATGAAGTATTGTTAAAATCTAAATGGATTTGTAAGAATCTTTTCTCATTTTTCAATGAAAACACACTGCCTTGTCCACAACACTGCCTCAAACTTTCACAGTAAATGAAGCTAGGATATATTTTGCAGCTCACTGTGCAACACTCACAGCAGGCAAGTTAGCATTGCTGAAGCAATTTTAATGCTAACATATTCTAGAAGTTCCAGTGCTCTCTCAGCACACTTTTGCGTGCAACTCATATAGACAAACCAGCATGGAGACCATCCTTCTGCATCCTTGCAAGAGCAAGTCAAACAAAAATACTACTTTTGGCATTTGAAACAAAAACCAGGCATGCAGCTTTGGGAAAAGATCAATTAACCGGGCAAGCAGACATCCGCGCTTTCACAACTATATCTTATATTGCCACCTTGCATTCTGGGTTTGCTTCTCCCTTTTACCACTGTAAAGAGAATGCAGTTAATGACA